TGCTTGCTGTCGGTTCCCCCCCGCCGCCGGAAGTCCCGCCTATTCCTCATGTCTAGCTATTGGCCGTTCAGCTCTTTATTAGACCAATCACAGCAATTTATCTTCACAGTGTACAAATATCCCACAACAGAGAGACACGGAGAAACATAGACAGGACACACAGTCAGTCAGACAGACAGACAGACAGACACAAGGGAGACAGCAGGAGAGCCCCAATTCCCTGAGTGTCCTCACTTCTCTAACCTCGAAACAGTGCCAAGCTGGGCACAGCAGCTGGGCTGACCAACCAGATGCCTAAGAGCTGCTGGGACGTGGCTCAGTGTAAGCATGAGGACCTGGGTTCAAATCCCCAGGACTCACATAAAAAAGGCAGGCCTTGCCAGGGCGTGGTGGGCCACGCCTTCGATCTCTGTGACCCCAGGCCAGCTAGGGATGCATAGTGAGACTGTCTCAAAAGAAGAATGTGTATGAGAGGCAGGGGGCTGGAGACCTGACCCAGTGGTCAGAGCATTGGCCGCTCTGGCAGAAGACCGGAGTTCTAGTCCCAGCACCCACATGGGTGCACTCTAGGCTCAGTGAGACCCTGTCTCAAAAACCACATGTAGGGTGATGTGTGGGCATAAGAGACTCCTAGAAGACCTGTCCCGGCCTTAGGGAGGGGGGGGGCAGCTGCAGAGGAAGGGTGCCACAGGAACGGTCTAACCCACAGATCTGGACATCTTGGGGTACAATGACTGTAAAAAAAAAAATCTTAACTGTTTGGGACGGGCTGGCTAGGGACTCTAACACATTCAGGCTAATAGTGCAGGCCAGGGCTGGTGAGAAGGTTCGGCTGGGAAAGGCAGCCACGCCTGATGACCCGAGTTCCATGCCTGGGAGCCATCCGGTGGAAGGAGAGACCTGACTCCTTTAAGTCGTCCTGACACCACACATGAACCGATACTGTACATACAGACACACACACACGCACACGTGCACACGTAAAGGAAACAAGTGAATATAATAAAATTTAAAAGAAATGAAAGGAATTCTGTGTTTATTGCAGTGGGGGCTCCTGGAAGCCGGGGGCCCCAGCGCGGATGGGTCCCGGGTCCCTCCAATGCACAGACATCCCCGGTGGCTCTGGGTCAAGGGGGTGGGGGTGGAGTGTGTGGCTGCCCCTCGGGCACATCCTGAGTCACAAGCGGGGTGTGGCGGGTGGAGAGGCACGCGAATCCCCAGCCCTGGGACACAGCCTCTTCCACCCGCCGTGGGACTCCGTGAGACTCCACGGAGGGTCCCGGACAAGGGGCACAGTGAGACTCGGAAGGGCTGTGCTGGGCCCGGTGGCGTCCGCATGCCATCCCTGCTACTGTGGAGGCTGAGGGTGGGCAGGGCGCTAGCTCCAGGCCAGCCTGGGCTACAGCAGCAAGTTCAAGGCCAGCCTGACCGATTTAGGGAGCCCAGGTCTCAAAGAAAAATTTGAAAAAGGCGGGGCATGGCATGTGCAAGTCTGGGCTCAGTGCACAGCACATAAAAAACAAAACAAAAACTCCCAACATGTGTGGTTCCTACAAGTACCCCTCCCGCCCCACACACTCGGGTCAGCTGGGGACAGCCTCGGTCTTCACTCTTTTGGGGGGCCTGTGGGGTACAGGGCTGTCGGGCTCTGGCTTACATGGAGCGTGCACCGAGCCATTGAAATGCACAGGGGGCTCAGCCTTGGGTGCAGCTGGGCGCGGCAGGGGTGGCAGGGCCTTGTCCAGCACGCGGGGTCCTTCCCAGGTGGGGATCTCCAGCCCCAGATGCTTCATGAGCCTGCTCATCACCTCGTCCACATAGCCGTGGATGCGCAGGTCAGCCTGGCGGTCCTGCCGGAATGAGGGATGGTCAGGCGGGGCAGAGGACACGGCAGGGCAGGCGGGCCACAGCGCAGGGCACTGGCACATACGTGTTTTGTGGGCTGCAGGTTGACAATGACCAGACGGCCTCCCCGGCGCTTAGTGGCAAGGGGCAGGTTCCCGCTGGGACGGATCTGCAGCGAGGTGCCCAGGGTGACTGACAGGTCTGCGGTCCTGGGAGCAGGAAGCAGTGAGGGGCTGGGGGCGTGGTCAGGGTGGAGCCCCACCTAGGATCCCCCAGGGAGGGCTGGGGGCGTGGTCAGGTGGAGCCCCGCCTAGAATCCCCCAGTGAGGGTCTGGGGGCGTGGTCAGGGTGGAGCCCCGCCTAGAGTCTCCAATGAGGGTCTGGGGGCGTGGTCAGGGTGGAGCCCCGCGTAGAATCCCCCAGTGAGGGTCTGGGGGCGTGGTCAGGGTGGAGCCCCGCCCAGAATCCCCAGTGAGGGGCTGGGGGCGTGGTCAGGGTGGAGCCCCGCCCAGAACCCCCAGTGAGGGGCTGACTGTGCAGAGGACTTGTTTATTAGTACACACAGGGCCCAGTATTCTCCCCAGTACCACAGAAACCCTGAAAACAAGAAAGTAAACAAACCTTCCAGTCATCCTGTGTTCTTTGCATCCATCCTGCCCAGGGTGTGGGTGTACAGGGGACCCCTCTGCTGTCCCACTGGAGTCCTGACCTCCTGTGGAAGTCTATCCCATGCTCCCACCCAGGGAGCGCAGGGTGGGTCATACCTGCTGGCCTCGTCAGCGAGCGTCAGGTCCCGCTCAGGCAGGGCGTCCTCCCAGTCCAGAATGGTGTCCCTCAGCTCCCCCCTGCGGCAGCCAGGGGAGGCAGTCAGGGCCCTCACCTCCTGACAGGTGCAGGCGTGCACGCGGCAAGTCACTCACCTACAGGCCCGGAGTCCCCTGGCCTTGGCCACCGTGCAGAGCCGGCCCGTGGCCTTGAGGCCCATGGTGCCCACGACCGTGTCTCTCACGTACTGCCTGCAGGGGGGAAGCGGGGTGGTGGGGCCAGTGCACTGGGCACAGGCTCAACCCTGGGCTACACAGCAAGACCAACAGCCGGGGACAGACGGGCAGACGGCTCAGTCTGGAAAGTGCTCGCCATGCACACACAAGGCCCTGAGTTTGGGTCACCAGAACCTATGCATGAAGGAGGGCGCGGTGGTGCAGACTCACACCCCAGTGCTGGGAGGCCGAGACGGGGACCCCGGGACCCCGGGAGCTCACTGCCTGCTCAGTAAACCAGCCAGCCACAGTTCTGAGAGGCTCTGCCTCAGAACACAAGGACAGGGGCTGAGTTAAGGCACCCACGTGTGGGGGGCGGGGAGGGAGGCAGCTAAGCCCAACACGATGGCTCACACCTGCGATCTCGGCACCCAGGAAGCTGAGGCAGGAGGATGGCAGATTCCAGGCTAACCCAGGCAATTTAATGAGGTTCTTTCTGAAAAAGAACCACTACAGAGGGGCTCAGGGGCACAGCTCTTGCTTACGCCGAGGCTCTGGTGTGGTCATGTCATCCTCCAGCCCGGAGTCAGGGGGGGGGGGGGGCAGGGAGAACCCCTCATTTCCTAGGGCCTGGCTTGTGTCACCCCATTTTGTAGCTCCTTGCTTGGGGGATTGCAAATGAAGGGTCTGCCTACTTCCAGTCTGTTTTTGTCCGACTGTCTCTGGAGACAGGGCCACCTCCCAGCCTTCCCTAGGGCCGTTTTAGGGCCCCTTAGCCAGCTCAGGGGAGGAACCCGCGCGAGCCCCGCCCGGGGAGAGCCCGGCTAAGCCCCGCCCCTCCTGGAGAGCCCCGCTAAGCCCCGCCCCTCCTGGAGAACCCGGCTAAGCCCCGCCCCTCCTGGAGAGCCCGGCTAAGCCCCGCCCCTCCTGGAGAGCCCGGCTAAGCCCCGCCCCTCCTGGAGAGCCCCGCTAAGCCCCGCCCCTCCTGGAGAGCCTGGCTAAGCCCCGCCCCTCCTGGAGAGCCCGGCTAAGCCCCGCCCCTCCCGGCCTTCGCACGCACAGTCACCGACACTCACGTCTTACACTTGGGACATTCCTCTACAAACATGTTTCCGTGGAGCTCCGCCAGCTTGTCCCTGTGGAAGAGGATGCGAGTCAGGACCTTTCCCAAATCCTGAGGCTTGGGCCAGCTGCTCAGCCTGCCTCCGCCTCCAGGAAGCCTTCCTGGGCTGCTCACCCACGAGGCCCATGGACTTCTCTTTCCTGATCCTCACATCAAGGGAAGATGCCCCAGCCTGTCCCAGTCTGAGGAATTGCTACAGAAAGAGCTGACCTTATTTTTGCAAACACACTAATACCTGCTCCCCACTACAAAAATCTGTTGTCCAGATGGACGTGGTGGCACAAGCCCTTAATCCCAGAACTCAGAGGCAGGTGGATCTCTGTCACCTCAAGTCCAGCCTGGTCTACACAGAGAGGTCCAGGATATCCAGAACAACACAAAAAAACTGGCTTTAAAAAAAGCCATTAACAAAAAACAAATCTGTTGACCTAAGAATACTTGCCCAGAATCCCCCAGTGAGGGGCTGGGGGCGTGGTCAGGGTGGAGCCCCTGCCAAGAATCCCCCAGTGAGGGGCTGGGGGCGTGGTCAGGGTGGAGCCCCGCCCAGAATCCCCCAGTGAGGGGCTGGGGGCGCGGTCAGGGTGGAGCCCCGCCCAGAATCCCCCAGTGAGGGGCTGGGGGCGCGGTCAGGGTGGAGCCCCACCCAGAATCCCCCAGTGAGGGGCTGGGGGCGTGGTCAGGGTGGAGCCCCGCCTAGAATCCCCAGTGAGGGTCTGGGGGCGTGGTCAGGGTGCAGCCCCGCCTAGAATCCCCAGTGAGGGGCTGGGGGCGTGGTCAGGGTGGAGCCCCGCCCAGAATCCCCCAGTGAGGGGCTGGGGGCGTGGTCAGGGTGGAGCCCCGCCCAGAATCCCCAGTGAGGG